TTTGACCTTGTGTTAAGTAGATTGCGTCTCCATTTTCTTGAGATTGAGATAAAGTCGATTTGATTTTTAGTGTAGTGTGTCCATCTGGTGAAGTCCATGTCGCTTTGTGGATATCCTTGTGCCTGAACACACTGCCTCCAATCACCAAATCGTTGAATGCACAGAATTCTGCAAACAATTCTCCATTCTCATTCATTTCGCCTAGCGCCTCTCGACCCATGGTTAGTTCTCTTCCCGTGTTGTCCCCTCCCAGTTTGGCATTCATGTCGCCCATCAGAATTTTGATATCGCCAATTGACGTCTTGTCCAGTGTTGATTGAAGTTGTCTGTAGAAATCCTCCTTTTTCTCTTGCTCTGCATTATTTGTAGGTGCATAACATTGTATGATTGTGACCTTTCTTCCTTTTGAGTAGAATCTTGCTGTCATGATCCTGGTGGAGATTGGTTCCCACTGCATGAGAGCCTTCGATGCTCTTGAGGACATCATGATAGCCACTCCAGAACTCAGTGTGCTCGTGGTTGTCGTCTGGGTGACCGGAGTAGATTATTGATTCTCCAGTTGACAGTTTGGAGAGTCCACTCCCATTCCATCTGCTCTCGCAAATCCCAAGCACTTCGATGTGATACCTTCTCATCTCCTTTGCAATCTGGGCTGCCTTACTGGGTTCAAACATCGTACGGACATTCCATGTCCCCACGTTTACTTTCGCTTTCATCGAGAGAGAGAAGACACATCGGCCAATTGGCTTCCCGAAGGCAGGATTTCACCAACTGGCGTCATTTCGCCTCTCCGATTCCAGCGGGGAATAAGTTTGTTTTCATTTTTTATATTTTGTTTGTGCTTTGAAGTTTCTTTAGCGGTTAGATTTGTTTTCCGGGGTAGGGTTGCTAGCCCTATGCCCAACCTTCCCTCTTTACCCGGGCTTACGACCGGCTAGTAACTAGTAAACTAGTTAACCAGGCGAGGTATAATCTGAAATAATTTTATCACATCCTCCTATCCTGTTTTGTTCCCTAACATAACATTTTACTAAGCTATTATTACTCCCTCTTTCATAGACATCCTATTACTGTTTTACTAAACTATCACATAAGCAGTGTAATCGTCTAGGTAATCAACTGTTTTGAATTGAATCCTAAGAACAACTGATTCCATCATTAACCTTCATACAAGATGTTTCTGAATTGACCTCTTCAACTGTATAACATTAACAAGTTGATAAACGAAATCTCAACATTGTTGATATATAATTCCTCAATATTTATACATATAACTATAGGACCTGGAGAAGTTACCCAAAAGGATATTCTTTGTTCATTCAAACACATGGTTATTCACTTTGGTGATGGTATGGGGATTTATGAGGAATCGGGTTCGTTTCAAAGAAGTTGTCATCATTAACCGACATCAGAGATAAACAATTTGAAAGTTTAGTATTATTATTATAATTTGTCGTTTGGGTTCCTAGTGGAACATAGGGCTTCAGTAGCACATAGCCATCTCACTCTATTCTCTGCAGTCTTCTCAACCTGACTCCACAATTGCCAACAAGCTTTCATCTCTTCCTCAAACCATCTCCTCCATGTCACCATCGGACACACAAATCGTCGTTCCCCCATTTCGCTTCCAATCGATGGCCTAGCCTGACACGTGATGTCTACAAATGGTTTCCTCAGTGCATGTCCAATCCAATCCATCTCCACTGCCTTCTTCTGCTGCATATTTGTCGGGTGATGGGTTGTTGCTTCGTTGGTTCGTTCTCCGAAATTCCTTGTTGCTTATCCTGATTATTCTGGTCATCTGATCTCCACCTTCAGTGCCAGTATGGAGTGAGCGTAGGCAGCAGCTGTTGATGAATGTGTGTAGTTTGTTGAAAATGCTATTCGTAACACTCTAATTCTCTGAACCATTGCATAGACGCACTGACTTACTTGACTGAATTGGTGTTGAAAATCCGGATCTTGTTCATGCTTTATGCTGAGTACAGCGTGATATAATGCAGTAGATCTCCATACTGATTTCAGATTAGTATAGGTGTGTCTTGCTTCTCCGGTCCTGGCTCTGAAAGTTTATTTGGCCCTAATTTTGAGCTTATCAACAGTTCCCACCTATAATCCCAGGTACGTTAAAACGCAGATCCGTCAACTTGTCAATGTTTCCATGGCTTATATTGATCAAAGATGAAAACGTTTTTAAAACTGGCTTGTCTTAAAGACGCATACACGTCATTAATGTAAGTGACCGAGAAGATTACATACAATTGTAAGTAGATTGATGACACATTTGATGTTTCTTATGATAAGAATCAGGAGTCTTGATTGTTTCCAATGCTAAGTGATATCGACTCCTATACCACTTTCATTACGAACTATAGAAACAATAAGAATTGCGTTTCTCTCTAAATTCATAATTCATAAACAACATGCTTTCCATCATTATACAAGTTAGGCATTATATGTGAAATTTTCGTCCGGGGAGTTATTCATTTTCCATCAGACTATTTCCGATGTTGGATGCTTGTAGTGTGATAGGTATAATTAATTTTCCTTTACTGTCATCAGTGGGCTTTCAGCTATCTCTCTATCTGTTTTCGAGTTTTTTCAGTAAAGACTGAACATTTCTCAGATTCATATTTCATCGTCTGTATCCAAATTCAAACAAAGTTTATTTGATAATTAACTGCTCTCAAAAATCTTGGTATATTTTAAGTTATAAAAATTGTTCTTGTTTATTGTTATATCGTTTAAAGAAAACAATCAATGCAAGCATTGAATACATTGAACATATTGATGAAGGAAAGTTAACCATATTGTCACTGTACAGAATTTGGAAATGAAACCTCCGAGAAGAACCTTTTCGCTAAGCTATTTCTTCTTTTTTTTTGTATATTCTTTGGTCAGAATTTTTAATAATTTTCCTAATTATTTATCTTGTCAGTTGATCTTATGAGATGTATAAAGTGCGTTTCATGTTTACTTACATTGGGAAGTATAGTGTGTCTGGAACCAACTTATCAGACATTCAAGGTGGCGTTACTCAGTGGTAAAAGTGAGAAAAACTTAACAGCGAGGTGCCACTGTTTTGCAGTGTGTATGCAGGGTATATTCCCTGGTCAGCCCTTTTAATTTGGATAGTATTTTGGCTTTCATGTAGAGGTGAAGGATTAGTTTGGTGTTGTGTAATGTCGATGTTTAACTCAGTATGATTTTATAAAGTGATTTAGGTGTTTCAAACACTGAGTTTTGTCCTAGATCCTTCTAGGAATGCTGTCATATAGTTACACATTCTTAGTCTATGCTCAGAAGTCGTTTACAGTGTTTTACTGTGTTGCAATTGTTCCCATAAAGTTAAATGTATGTCACTTATCGAGATATATGCAAATAAAAATGTCTGTCTGAGCGAGCAGGAAAATCTCGATTTCATTTGAGTATTGCACTCAATAAGACAAGCACCTAATTCAGTCATGTTAGCTGCTGAAAGTTGTCACAGATGATACAAAAACTCCGGGCTTCAAAACACACATGCGGTCGATCATTTCACCATCGATTAATTCTACAACATCTTGAACTGCATACTAAATTATTCAGTTTATTCATGTTGTATTGCATTTATACTCAAATTATACTTTCTTACTATAAGTTTCGCTAACCCCTAATCTTTACTTCGATTTCGACGTATACACACTAATGTTGATCACATACTAGAAGTAACCAGCTGGGAATATAAGGAGCCTCACTAGGGATGATTGCAGTAACTAGGATGTTTTGATTCGAAATCTTGTTAGATCGCTTCGAATGAATCCTCCATCTTTCACCCAGAGAAGTAACACCGAAATCTCACCCAGTTTAATGATTTCAATTTTAAGCCGGAAATTGCTTCGCTTCACTAAAACTTAAGCCAGACTTATCTTCATACTATCGTGTTTAGAAGTAGATGACGGGAGAAGTAAATGTTAATATGGCTTGAATGTAATTCATTAGGAATTCCTTCATTAATTAGATGATCTTTTCACCGATTTCTTTCCAACGTCTTGACGTTGATAGGCAATGTTCTTTAGTATCTTCTACAAAAGACTTTTTTAAAACAACTTAGATTATCAGACGGCGAAAGAATCTGAATCAGTTAACTGTTGGAAGTTAACTTATCGAAACTACTAATTGCTTAAAGCCAGATATTACTGATGTGGCCTATGATTCAAATTGTTTTCCTTGGTTAAAAGCCCACTCATGATGTATTGAAGAGACGAAGCAAGGCAGTTCTAAGCTGCTTATTTTGTACTACCAAACTACCAATTCTGACCCTACTATCTTCTGCTCTGTAGTCGCTTAGTATCAGACCATCTTCGGAAGTGGAGATCTCAGCACAGAAGTTTGAGTTGTTAAACGTCAGTTGCTTTCATTTCTCTAAAAGTATCTATTAAAGTTGTTGAGTTACTGAGTTAATGTGAAAATCCATTCAATCACAACTGGAACCTTCTTATGTCAATAAGTTACAATAATTACTAGTAAAATACTTTTTTGCATGTGATATTTACTGAATACAGTTGCGTGCAAACAAACTAAATCTCGAATGTTGTATTGAAAAGACAACAGACAGTTACAACGGAACGGTAGTTGTTACATATGGTACACTTTGCACTAAACCCGTCATTTGCAAATGTGCTTCATTTCCTATTCTGTTTCTGTCTTGATTTGCTCTTCATACATTCTTATCAGCAGCATCCACTGTAATACAACTGTGTTATCCCTTGCGTTGCTCTTGGCAGAAACTTTACCCCCTTGATGGTAATTCCCTATGATTCCTGCCATCCTCAACATATACTACTTATATCCATTGTTATCAGCAACGCCCACTACAGTATTTATCGCGAAATGAGGAGTCTCAGTGCTGAGAGGTTTTCAATAGTTCCCCAAATAATGTCTGATCATAATCAATACCAACTTGAAACTGATGAAACGCAATAAACTTTCAAAAAGCAAAGTGTTGAGAATTCACTTACATGGTTGAATCGACTGGAATTCTCGGGACTTCAATTCGTTTCGGAATATGAGTTATCAAACTGTAAGGCAAAAGTGTAGATATAGATAATCATTTTCGAGAAGTAGTGTGTAAAAAAACAATGAAATATTCGGTGACTGAGAAAGGAAAAAGCATTTTATGATTGTAATAAAAAAAACACCTTGTAATATTTAGAATAAATTTCAAGCAATGGTGTCTCATCCACTCTATGCACCCCACAGTAACACCTCTAGAAAGCTGTTTGATTAAGGTACGATATATCTTAGTTGTTCAACTTTAGGTTTTGTTGAAACTGGTTACTGCCAGGGTAGTATGTATTACAGACTGATCCCAGGTGGTAAATCAAAGAAAACCTGGTAGGTGACACCTCGGAAGAATTCACCTATGACTCCGTCAGAAATCGAAACCAAATTTCATTTGGGCTTGCATCTGATACCATTCCGTGATGATTACTACATCGAAATCCTAGCTAGCTGGGAGTAATCACAAGGGAGCTCTTAATAAAGGTTTCATAATTGTCCACTCGTTCGAAAGAAGTATCCGCATATTTATTTATAAGACTTAGGGAGAGATGATGTCAATTTTTTGCAAAGGATAATTTAGTTAAAATTGTATATCAATTAAATGATCGAACAGCACACTCACTTTAGCAAATGCCAATTTGCGCCACCTATGGCGCCGCCGTGATATTCGCTTGTCTATTAAGGGTCACCTGTACTGCACAGCAGTCCGCTCTGTTCTACTATATGGCTGTTAAACATGGCCATTGAAAGTGGAGGATACAAAAAGGCTTCAGGTGTTTGACCACCGTTGCCTTCGTAGTATAGGACGTATTCCGTGGTGTCACCATGTGAGTAATGCAGAAGTTAGGTGTAGAGTTTTGGGGAGAAGAGGTAAGTCAGTCGACGAGGTTGTGAACCTTCATCGACTGAGATGGCTGGTTGGGACACGTACTACGTATGCCTAGTCACCGATTGCCTCGTCACACAATGTTGACTGAGATGGGTCCAGGCTGGAAAAAGGCTCAAGGTGGCCAGACTAAAACATGGCGCCAATGTATGAAGTCTTTGACTGTTGATTTAAGCCATGTAGGACGATGCAGACTAGGTGGTTGGGGTCCATGGGACAAGAGGAACCAGTGGTCGGAGACCCTAGGTGATATAGCTCAGAACCGATGTCAGTGGCGCAGATGTATCCCAACACACCTTATCCTCATCCTAACAACGCTATACCGAATCTCACCATTTTGTCACTCCTCTTTCCTTTCTTCTCGTACTTTATATTTCTTTTGACTGCATTCACTTATCTTCATCCTTCACCTCACTACCTTTTTACTTGATGTGCTGATATGAGGTGTGGCAACTCGGACAGTTACGCAGTAATGCCTGGTCCTATGTTGATAATGATGATGAATGCCTCCTCGGAATTGAATGTCCTCTACTAAAATACACATATATTACAGACGATTACTCAAATCAATAGCATAAAGGTGTGTTCAGTGGCAAATAACAACAGTCAGCTGAAAAGGGATTATTATGCGCAGGATGTAACAGCAGTACACTAGATGAGTATTTCAAAGAAAAACACATTGCAGAATATAATGGGCTCATTTTATCTCACGCTCTTTCATCAGCTTCAAACAACCTACAACTGAAATGAAATATTAGTAGTAGTAGTAGTAATGAAATAAAATACTTCAGTGATTCGGGAATAAATAAAGATTCAAAATCCACGATAAACAATGCGGTAAAGAGTGAGTCAGTCAAGGAAATACACGACTAATAACCAAAAAACTCAGTCAAAATCAACGGCAGTTTATACACATCTCATGAGATAGAAAATCTTGGAGCTGAAGAAAGTGGATAAGGGTGAACGGCATCAACAAACAGACAGGAAAGCAAAAGAAAGGGTTTGTTAAAGAGCCAGAAGGTTACTTTTTTATGTGCCGAAAAGCTGGAAAAACTTAAGGCTGAGTGATTAATAGTCAGTAAGCAATTAATAAAGAGATAACGCACTCAGAAAGAACGACCATCAATATACACATGCAAAAAATTATACAGAGTTACCGAGGTAGGGAAAGGTCATTTACAGTATCTTTTTAAGTGTATAAGTCAGGTTAAAGATGCTTGGTTGCAACAGCTTTCGTAAATCATCGCAAACGAGGCGTTCCTTGTTTGTTGCTTATCCCGAAGGATTGAGAAACATCAAATCGATGATCTGTTTACATCACGCGACAGGTCATTGTGCTGGTAAACACCATGCCACCCTTCAAACACACATCTCTCCAAATATCCTCATAAATCAAGTACATAGTCTGATTTCGATCCTCCACATATACTTGCTTCCACAAGCACACATAAATTGATATACACAGTTGGTTTGAGGTGACATGAGATGGGGATTTCTCCACTCCCGACTGTATTATTGAACATGCTCCGTTATAAACTGAGATCGGTATGATAGCAGGAAAGCACCTCCTCAGTGCTGCTTTCATTCTTCCACTCATTCTTTCAAATGTCTCATCAATTTGTGATGCAAGAGGAATGGAAACAGGCTTCCCCTCATCAGTTGGGTGTTCCACTCTCTCAACAAATTCTTTTCCATGCTTCACGATGAACTTCACCAGATATGCATTATCAAAGAGAGCTTTCTCAATGATACCGAATTCTTCTTCCTCCTTGTCTCTTCTACACAGCATTCTCATTCAAGTATACAGCGTCCTGACTAGACCACGTTTATATTTGACAGCATGGAAACTATTGTGTTGGAGGAACCGATCAATCCACCTTTTCTTTCCCTGGATGCTTTTCACAATTTGATCACCACATCTCTGTCTTATACTCAGATCCGAAAAGGTGAATCTATCTTAATTGTCGTATTCCATTGTAGAATTCATATTTGGATGAGCTTGTTTGAAGGTGTTGAACAAGTTTGACGCATGATTCATATTATGATAAACAATGAAATAATCATCGACATACGTGTGGTAAGATGTCGTTTCCTTGATCGTACACTTCAGAAATATTGTTTTGAGGTGATCTATAAATATACGAACTAGTTTCAGTCGTAATGATGGACTTATAGCCATTGTTTCAGTTTGACAGCATAGTCGATTAATAATATCCGAGGAAACATTTCTTCAATGAAATCCCTGTCATTTATTTCACTCGTCTAATCCTGAGTCTATCAGAAGTGCGTGCTGTCAAGTTCACTTGATGATAAAGTTAAATTACTCAAATCGACTGTGTGTCTGGCTTGTTGAAATGAGTAAACCGATGTACCATGTAATGGTCGAAAAATCAAGTTACTTAGAGGTTGCACATTGAAAATTTCTCATAGGTGATTAGTTTCACAACTGCTATATAAATGTGGGCTGCGGGAAAAAGTTTTCTGTAAATTAACAAAGTATACTACTGAATTATATGAGAAGTAATAACCTACAAGCACTCATGTGCAGATTCTTTTGCATACAAATATGCTGAAGATGTCTTCATATTGTTTGAAGTCGATATGAAGTGGAAAGATACACAACACTTATATAAGAAATACATTTGTGAAATTCCATTGAGGTAGAAAAACAAATTTCTGATGTTTAGTGTTTTACACATTGCACAGACAAACTATATATTTTTACGGTACATTCACAAACAAGCTGAATTTTTTTGGACAGAGGAAACACAAAGAATGTCATCAGAGAATTCCTAGGAGGTGGTCATTCAGAACAGTCAGTCAGCAATCAACAGGTGTATAGACATAGACCCAATCTATCAACCAATAAGAAAAGTGATAAACGACGGAAAGATCAGAGGTCAAGCAGAGGAACAGCCAATAGGAAAATCCATGCAGTCAATAACACAAAAATCAAAGGAAACAGCCAATCACAGATCACTTCATCAGGGCAAGCTAACAAACCACTCACGGAGAGATGTTGACAACTCACTTCATACTGAAGTTAGTGATGATGATGTCACTGTCTAGAAAGACGATGAAAGCTTCACGACTAAACAACCAAGCTCAGAGAACACAATACAACCAAGACCATCTACCTGAGCTACAAATATTCTTCATTATTTCAAAACTGAATTTTTCACTCACATTACTTAGGTGTGAAATATACCCATAATGATTTAAAGGAAGAGCGAGTATTTCAGCGAAGTCTCTTTTCGGCGATTTCATTTTCAATGCTGTACAACTGCAAATTTATACATTTTTCTAAAATAAGGATTTGATGGTTAAAAACGGTTTGTCAAGCATGACAACACAAATAATGTCAATAAATGAGCTGTCATCAAAATAAAATAAAAAAGATCTGATGAGTAGTCAAAATAAGTTTGGACAAGAAGTTTCATAACATGACGACCTAATTAGAAATTGAATTGTGATCAGGCAGAACATAGCAACAAGAAAGCGTAGTAAATTTCTTAAGAAGTGAATAGTGTCAAGGCAAAAAGATGAAAGAAAAAGAGGGGATGGAGGAGACTGAAAACCAAGACCATGAAAGGAGAAGGGATTGAACAATCTTCTTTTATATACACAGTTCAGATCTCTCCATTTGGATGACAAGAGCTACGTCAATGCAGAGAATACGAAGATATACAGCTTTCGGAAAGTTTCATTTCACTTTATAGATGACTTTGAATGAGGAAGTTGTTGAGACACAGTGACTCGTGTTCATGATGTGTTGCTTCTTTGTAACCACTTGAGGTAGTGTTTTTGAACCCTTTTGGATAACAGTCGCATCGAACGACCTATCTACCTATCTCCACAAGAGCAGGTAAATTGATATATGTACACAGAAGTGGTCAGAAGCATACCTACCCTTCGCAAACCTTCCCACCCATTCACATGTGCACATACATTCAAATCTTCACCTTGGCCTAAATAACTGATAACGATAACGTTTATTATCATATTATTATCATCATGTATGAACAATGTGATCTGATTTGTCTCCATTTGCTATTTAAACATGCAATAAATTGTACGAGTTTTATTCTCCCAGAAAGTGACTTCCACAAGGTCACGAAAAGTCTGGAATTTATTTTTCCCCCTCATTGGGATTTTGCAAATATACCTCTTTTAGAAACCATTTACTAAATGCTAAAATTTCTCAATTCTCTCAGGTCAAATTAAGACCTTTAAGTCGACGTGACACTTCTCGTAGTGTCGCTGTACATTAGAATTATGGTTTTCTAGGAATGCATTCCTATATCGAAACACCTACGCTGGAAGAATTAATCTAGAAAGATGAGATAGTTCACTCATCTACAGAGTGAAAAACATTTTTCCCCACATCAATGGATCTAATAGGCAATTTCCATCAATAAACTTGTTAAACGCAACCTTGATTAATGCATGGCAAAAAATGTGGCCCAGTGACAAACAACCTGACTCCTATACTGAGCCATGTTGGTTGGAATCGGTAAAGGATGTGCATCTCACGAAAAGCTTCGACGGAGCATCCTGCAAGATTACTAAGCATTATGAAACCAAGATCAAACGCTTGTTAGTGATTGAATTTATAAATTTAATGCCCTACTATGGAGTAACTCATTTCAGTGGTCATATTATGTGACAACAAATGATAAAACATTGAAAATGAAAGATAATCTTTAAAATAATCATAATTTCTCATAAACTTACCCAAATTGAACTTTTGGGACAGCTGAATCAATTTTATAAAAGTCTGATGAGTATTCTACAGCACCATAGGGCTTATCGCCTGGTCTCATTGGATTTACAATACCATTGTTCTGTTCAATATCATCGCCTGAATGTTTATTCGTGAGAACATACACAGACACATAAGGAGAGACGTAAATGAATTTAGTCTGAAAATGTCAGTATATTTTGTACATGAAACATAGTGTATGTTATATTTCACGTACTTAACCTTCAGAACTTAGTTGATAAGTTTGTGTTGGCGTACAGGTTTCTTGTACGGATGCCTCGATACTGCTTATAACAAGATCTAGGTAGCGGTTAGAAGGGAAATTCAAAATATGTCTCGCACCCGTTTAAGGCTAATAAATCGGATACAGCTGAATTTTATCTAGCTGGATGCTCCTACTGCAACAAAGACCCAACATCTGAATGTTACTAATTGATTCATTCCTGTCGATAAGCAAATATTGCTCAGTGACTTAAAGATTCTAACTGATTTGGAGTCTCAGTGGAAATGACGACATACTGCGGTCTTGGTGCATTTAGTTGAACAGTCCTAAATGGAGTGGTCTGTGCGTTGTGTATATCACTAATGGCGACTACTGCAGTCTCTTTCAACTACAGGTGGCACAGGCACAAATGAAGATGTCAAAGCATCCAGGATAGGAAAAGTAAGACAGACCCTCATTACTCTGAAACCAGTGTGGACATCTACTCCACTCGGCATAAAGAACAAGATCCGGATTTTCAACACCAATTCAGTCAAGTAAGTCAGTGCGTCTATGCAATGGTTCAGAGAATTAGAGTGTTACGAATAGCATTTTCAACAAACTACACACATTCATCAACAGCTGCTGCCTACGCTCACTCCATACTGACACTGAAGGTGGAGATCAGATGACCAGAATAACCAGGATAAGCAACGAGGAATTTCGGGGAACGAACCAACGAAGCAGCAACCCATCACCCGACAAATATGCAGCAGAAGAAGGCAGTGGAGATGGATTGGATTGGACATGCACTGAGGAAACCATTTGTAGACATCACGTGTCAGGCTAGGCCATCGATTGGAAGCGAAATGGGGAAACGACGATTTGTGTGTCCGATGGTGACATAGAGGAGATGGTTTGAGGAAGAGATGAAAGCTTGTTGGCAATTGTGGAGTCAGGTTGAGAAGACTGCAGAGAATAGAGTGAGATGGCTATGTGCTACTGAAGCTCTATGTTCCACTAGGAACACAAACGACAAATAATAGTGATAAAAGTAAAGTGACTACTACGTGTAGAAATACTCTGGAGATCGTAAAATGTGTGGTATTATTATTATTATTATTATTATTATTATTATTATTATTATTATTATTATTATTATTATTATTATTAGTTCCTTGGGTTCCTAGTGGAACATAGGTCTTCACTAGTACGTCTCCAGTGACCTCTGTTCTCTGAGATCTTTTGAACCTGGTTCCACAACAGCCAAGCTGCTCGCATTTCCTCCTCGCACGATCTCCTCCATGTCACCCTCGCCTCGGACACCCAACTCGTCGCTTCCCATGGGGGTTCCACTCGAACAACTGGCCTGACGCGTGATGTCCCCAGTCGGCCTTCTCAGTGTATGCCCAATCCATCTCCACTTCCCTCTGCATATTTGTTGCGTGATAGGTTCTTGGTTGGTTCGTTCTCAGAGCTCCTTGTTGCTTATTCTTTCTGGCCATCTGATCTTCAGTATCGAGCCAGTGTAGGCAGTTGTTGATGAATGTCTGCAGTTTATTGGAAATCCCTTTCGTAACGTGCCAAGTCTCTGAGCCATACTGAAGCACTGACTTGACTGGACTGGTGTTGAAAATCCGGATCTTGTTCCACATGCTGAGTGCAGAAGATCTCCACACTGGTTTCAGGCTAATGAACGCCTGTCTTGCTTTTCCGATTCTGACTTTGACGTCCTCGTCCGTCCCGCCTGTAGTTGAAACAGTGCTTCCTAGATAAGTGAAGGAGGTTACTTCCTTTAAGTTTCTCCCATTGATGGTGACTGGAGTTTGTTGTTGTTGGTGGTGGTGCGGTATCTTCATCACCTCTGTCTTCTCTATATTCACTTGAAGTCCCGTCTTCCTTCGCTGCTCTGCCTTGCCTCTTCTGTCAACTTGTTAGTTTTCTCCTGTAGATCTTCAAGTTTATGTGACATCAGGCACAAGTCATCGGCAGCGAAATCCAAGTCTTCTAGGTTCTTTTCCGCAGTCCAGTGTATCCCCCTCTTCTCGCAGCCCACTGTTTGCTGCATGATCCAGTCCACCACAATAAGGAATATCATGGGGGATAGTGGGCAACCTTGTTTCACTCCTGTCTTCACTTCAAAAGCATCACTGAGCTTCCCACTGTGAATTACTTGGCATGTGGCGTCTTCGTATAGTTGTTGAATGAGGCGGATAAAGGTTTGCGGTACTCCGTAGTAGTGAAGCAGTTTCCAAATTACTTCTCGGTCGACAAAATGTGTGGTATACTGATTACTTATTCAGTAATTCAGTGAAAATGTAGCATCTGTGAAATCCGTAGATCTGGAGGTTAATCACTTACAAACCATCCAGTTGAATAAGCAGTCAGTGCTGTTCAGTAACTTCGTCGGTGTATATTCTCCGCAGTTCCAATGCTAAACCGTGACCTGTTGGGTAAACTAAGTTTGGAGGAATAACAAATGCACATTAGATGAGCGATATACAATAGTGAGATGCATGTGTGAAGTCGTCTACTTCTTTCTCAGAAACCAAACGACAAAGTGTGATTTTGTTAGTGCATTCAGGACCGTCAAGGATTTCAGTTCAGTTATAAATATCAAAGTGATTTTCGTCATGGACTGACATTACCTGGCGAACTAGTGAAAACTATAAGAGAATGAACTCCTACCTCGTCCTAGTCAGGTGCTCTTTGGAAGTTAGCAATAGTCACTCCCTATATTACCGATCCCATAACCGCCAGATTTCATAACAACCATATTACCGTTTGGCCAGTGTGTCAAAATCCTATTATATATATATATATATATATATATATATATATATATATATATATGTATTATTTGTCCCATGGCTTCCTAGTGCAACATAGAGATTCAGTAGCACATAGCCATTCCACTCTCTTCTCTACAATCTTTTCAACCTGGCTTCACCACTGACCACAACCTCTCATTTCTTCTTCACACCATCTCCTCCATGTCACCCTCACCTCGGACGCTCGACTAGCCATTTACCCTTTGGATTCCAATCGACAGCCTGGCACGTGACGTCCCCAATCGACCTTCTCAGTGTATGTCCCATTCATCTCCACTTCTTTCCAGTGCATATTTGTTGCGCGACACGTTTCTGGTTGGTTCGTTGCCAGCCAGCCAGCCAGAGTTCCTTGCTGCTTATGCTAATTATTCTGATCATCTGACCTCAGTACTGAGTGAGAGTAGGCAGCTGTTCATGAATATCTATAGTTTCTTGGAAGTGCTTTTCGTGACGCGCCAAGTCTCTCAACCATCACCTAGAAGCATTGACTCATTTGACTGAATTAGTGTTGAAAATCCGGATGTTGCTCACGCTTCATGCTGATTGCAATAGATTTCCACACTCGTTTCAGGTTAATGAAAGCCTACCTTTCTGTTATTCCTATTCTGGTTTTGACGTCCTCGTCCGTGCCTGTGCCGCCTCCTGTAGTGGAAACGATGCTGCCCAGCTTGGGTGGGTGAGATATATTACATCCTTTAGGTCTCTCACGAAAATGGTGATTGATACTTGTTGGTGGTGGCAGTGGTGTTGGTTGGGTATCATCATCACCTCCGTCTTCTCTACATTCACTTGAAGTCCCGTCTTCCTTCGCTGCCCTGCCCTGCCTCTTCTTACAGCCTGTTGGTTTTCAACTGTAGATCTTCAAGTTTGTGCGACACTAGACACAAGCCATCAGCAAAATCCAGATCTTCTGGGCTCTTTTCATCAGTCCCGAGTATGCCTCTCTTCTCACTCCTCACGGTTTGCTGCATGATCCAGTCAACCACAATCAGGATGATAATCTGTGATAGCAGGCAGCCTGGTTTTACTCCTGTCTTCACTTCAAAGGCACCAATGAGCCGAGCTTTCCATTGTGAATCACTCGTCATGTAGCGTCGCCATATAGCTGTTGGATGGGGTTGGTAAAGATTTGTGGTACTCCGTAGTGTTGAAGCTGCTGCAGAATTACTTCTTGATCGACGCTTTCGTAGGCCTTTTCGAAATCAATGAGGTTGATTTAGAATTCTTGACTGCCGTCCTACGCTGTGTTCTATGATGATGCGTAGCGTCGCGTTGCAATTTGGCCCATATGTGGTTTGTTCTCCCTGAATCCGGCGCATCGTTTCTTCTATCCGGGCTGGTGTGGCCTAATATTTCGCTTGCTTGGGGTGAACTGGAGTGAAGCATGATTCCGCGCCAGTTCTTGCAAGGGCTTATGTCTCCCTTCTTCGGAAGTTTGACAAGGTAGCCTTTCTTCCAATCAATACGCAAGTACCTTTCCTTCCTTCCTCCCTTCCTTCAAAACCTTCTGCATTAGTGGTGTGAGCATGTCCGCTATTGTCTCTGCGTCTATTCTCAGTGCTTCTGGCGGGATTCCATCTGGTCCTACTGCTTTCCCGCATTTCAGCAACTTGATGGCTTTCAGGTCTTCGTTTCCGCCTTTGTCTGAGTGCTTGTGTTCACTGGTAATTTTGTGACTAGGCTGATGGTGGTATTTCTGTACGAAGTGCAGGTGGTGGTCGATTCAAGAGCTTTTTGAGGTGGTCGGCCCATCGTTTCCTTTGCTCCTTCTCTTTGGCAATTACATTTCCTTCATTATCCAGCAGCCTCTTCTGCTTCACTTGCAAGTGTGTTGTAGAAGCGTCTTTTGTTTTTCCGTGCACTCTTTTTCGCTTCTTCGTTCAGTGTAGTGTTTTATACATTGTACTCAGTTCCTCTTCTCGTTGTTCATCCTTGCACTGGTTTATCTTCTGCTTCACCATCTTCCTCTCCCTCTCCCTCCTCTCCCAGCTGCTATGTGTCCGTCGAGATCTATTCCTTGTCTTGCCTCTTCTTCTTCCTTCCTAATACGGTTATTCAGGTTTCTTTCCACATCTCTTTCAAAGAGTTCCAGTGTTCTTCCACGCAGGTTTCTTCGGGGATGTTGCTGAATATCTCCCATTTTGTCCTGATGACTGACTGACTTGAAGATGTCCCTTGTAGTTTTGTCTTTCAGTTCACCTTCTGTTCTGGATGTTGAACTTGAACTATGGTCTATCACTAACTTCCTTGAAGGCTTTCAACTTGATTCGGAAGGTTCCTTGCACCAGATGGTGGTTTGAACCTATATCTGCTCACCTTCTTCATCTCATCTTGTGTCAAGTAGGCTGCGTCTCCACTCTCACCACATTGAGATAAAGTCGATCTGATTTTTAGTGTGTCCTGGGGTCTGGTTAAATCCATGTTGCCTTGTGAATATTCTTGTGTTTGCACACACTACTTCGCCTCCAATCACCAAGTCTTTGAATGAGCAGAAGTCTGCAAACAGTTCTCCATTCTCACTCATCATTTCACTGAGTGCTTCTCGGCCCATGATTAGTTCTCTTCTTGTTCCGTACGCTCCCAGTCTAGCACTCATGCCACCCCACCCACTAGAATTTTGATGTCACCAACTGGGGTAGAGTCTTGTCCATTACTGATTGCAGCTGTCTGTAGAATTCCTCCTTCTTCTCTTCATCTGAATTATTTGTAGGTGCGTAGCGTAGCGTATCATTGAATGATTGTGACTTTCCTTCTTTTCGAGTTGAATCTAGCTGTCATGATGCTGATGGTGGAGGAGGAGATTGGTCCCCACTGCATGAGAGAGAACCCTCGATGCTCTTCAAGGCGACATCATGATAGCCACTCGAGAGATCAGTGTACTCGTGGTTGTCATCTGGGTGACAATACTGGAGTAGATTATTGACTCCTCTCCAGTTGAGAGTTTGGAGAGTTCACTTCCATTCCACCTGCTTTCGCAGATTCCCAGCCTAGCACTTCTATGCCATCTCTCCTTATCTCTTTCGCAATCTGGACAGCCTTGCTAGGTTCATACATGGTGCAGACATTCAATGTCGCCATCCTTACTTTCGCTTTCATCGAGGGAGAGAAGATATCGCCTTTCACCAACCGGCGTCATTTTGCCTCTCCGATTCCAGTGAGGAATAGGTTTGTTTTTATGTTTTATGTTTTGTCTGTGCTTTGAAGTTTCTTTAGCGGCTGGATTGGTTTTCCGGGGTAGGGTTGCTAGCTCTATGCCCAACCTTCCCCCTTTATCCAGGCTTAGGACTGGCTAGTAACTTGTGAACTAGTTAACCAGGCGAAATTGTCAGAATCCTATGGTTCGTATTTTCCTACCCCTATCCACAATGTGCATAACTAAGCCAAAATAGCTTTCTGGTACTCCTAGGTTTCAATGGTTCCCAAACTGATATCAGTCTGTGGTGTAAGCAACTTTAAAATGAATCAATCCCCACAATTAACTGATTGAACATTGAAAAATGAATTGAGGTATTTACTGGAGATCATTTGTGCGAATCATAAGCGCTATTTTGACGGTTCATTGTGGTGTAAATATTGAAAGATTAATGCTATCGTTTCGAAACTGAAACTCATAAAATACTACACGACACTGTGTCAGCGACGAAAACTATCAGTCCATCGAAAATGCAGATTTCTTAAAAAAAGTCAAATATCACACGGTACATTGATATTGGTAACAGCCACATAACAGTAAACAAATATGCCATAAAGTCATTTTGTCTAGAATAAAATAAGTTCATTAGAGTTTGAGGTCGGCATCAACTTAATCACTGACTGTTTTAATCGACATTCAACACCAAAACAAACTGAATAATGCAATATCGAATTAGATATGTGTCGAAAAATGCCCGTTTCCCTGTAGTCAGCGTGTAGGTTTCTGAAGAATCTAGGAATATAAGTTTCCTCACAAGCTCTTAATTTTACTTCAACAATCAAGTGTTTTACCTAAGTTTGCAAGAAAAAACATGGGTGGTTCGAATCCTACCCTAATCTTGGTTTTTACTTTGTCTTTTATCATCAATCATTGTTAACCAAATGCTTGGTGGACCATCCTTTTTAGTGTGACTGAGGAAAATGAATAAATTAACACCAGTGAATTTCACTGGGTAGTTGGGTGATGAACGTCAGCTAATAATCATCATCAAATTCAATCATAGAGTTGTTCCTAATGGTCAGTAAACTGTCTCAAATGTTTGATCCGACACCGCAAAACCACTAATAAGGTGATATCCACCCAACTTTCCAAGTGCTCGCGTATGTTTAAACTGGTAGAATAGTCTATTGGACTGCAATGTAAGAAATATTATCAAATCCGGATACTCATACCCATCTTTAGATGATTCCACCTTGAATAGTCAATTATTTCATGTTCTATTTAGATCTATGAGTAAATTTAATAGACGGAAAGTTCAAAACATTTTGTTCCACACCTTTTTAGCGCAGGCAAACAAGTTTAGTCAGCAAAAACTGGAATAACAATCCTGTGATATTGAAAGTGAACTGGGCACAACTTTATAACACAACAATGTATAAACATATATATATATATATATATATATATAATTATACCTACCTCTTCTTTTATGCGTAAAATAACAGTCGAAGGTATATTCCTTGCCACAATAAACACTACGTTGGTGCACTCCATTGAATAGACACTTCTTCCCAGTGGAATAGCCATTAGTATACACTAACCATTCTGGACTCAGTCCATGAGTGTTCAATTCTGTTCATATTACTGATGTGTTGAATCTATGAGAATTTACCTGGAAAAGTCTTTAAATGACTTGATAATTCTGGCCAAATATTCTCATCACTTCTTTCCTCATCTTTGTATGCTTCAATATGACGTAATTTAGATGACCAATCTAAGCCATAACTGATTCAAACAATTCCATGTGTGATGACTACATACTCTGAGTAGATTGGATTCAATGCTACATTATGGGGTCTCCAGTCCAAATCATCTTTTATACAGTAACCATGAGGTATGACTCGTTTCGATGGAGAAAATGTCAATTCTTCAGTACTGCATTTATTCGTCACACTGTAGTGTCGCATTTAATCTCCAGCTAATTATATCAGAATTTAAGAACACCGCTGAAACTAGGTCAGGTCATATCTAATGACAACTGTACTGTAACTCGTAAAACAACAGTTAAGGTACGAATTTCAATATTGTGGTTTTCATCCAATTACTCTTGGTTTGGAGATAAATGTTAGTTTCAAACACAACATATCATGAAAGGATATTGAATAACTTGATTCCGTAAGCAGTTAATGCGTCATAGAAACGAATTTCTTGATATCAATTTGACCAGTAGAGATAGCACTCACCTCAAAGATTTATTTTATTGGTCTTGTGTGATGATTGAAGGTGAAGTGAAAATCTTGGTTGCTGAGGGCTTAAAGGCAGAGGCCTTCGGGTGACAGGACCGACCCTCAACCAAATTAGCTACCTGATTATCCTGGTAGGGTAAATCACTAGTTATTCGACTTTCGGGTAACCATTGGTTCGGAAGCAAATTCCATATCTAAATAAATGATATCGGAGAGATAACCACCAGAATTAGCATAGCCATTTCACTCTATTCTCTGCAGTCTTCTCAACCTGACTCCACAATTGCCAACAAGCTTTCATCTCTTCCTCAAACCATCTCCTCTATGTCACCATCGGACACACAAATCGTCGTTTCCCCATTTCGCTTCCAATCGATGGCCTAGCCTGACACGTGATGTCTACAAATGGTTTCCTCAGTGCATGTCCAATCCAATCCATCTCCACTGCCTTCTTCTGCTGCATATTTGTCGGGTGATGGGTTGCTGCTTCGTTGGTTCGTTCCCCGAAATTCCTCGTTGCTTATCCTGGTTATTCTGGTCATCTGATCTCCACCTTCAGTGTCAGTATGGAGTGAGCGTAGGCAGCAGCTGTTGATGAATGTGTGTAGTTTGTTGAAAATGCTATTCGTAACACTCTAATTCTCTGAACCATTGCATAGACGCACTGACTTACTTGACTGAATTGGTGTTGAAAATCCGGATCTTGTTCTTTATGCCGAGTGGAGTAGATGTCCACACTGGTTTCAGAGTAATGAGGGTCTGTCTTACTTTTCCTATCCTGGATGCTTTGACATCTTCATTTGTACCTCCGCCACCCGTAGTTGAAACGATGCTGCCCAGCTTGGGTGGGTGAGATATATTACATCCTTTAGGTCTCTCACGAAAATGGTGATTGATACTTGTTGGTGGTGGCAGTGGTGTTGGTTGGGTATCATCATCACCTCCGTCTTCTCTACATTCACTTGAAGTCCCGTCTTCCTTCGCTGCCCTGCCCTGCCTCTTCTTACAGCCTGTTGGTTTTCAACTGTAGATCTTCAAGTTTGTGCGACACTAGACACAAGCCATCAGCAAAATCCAGATCTTCTGGGCTCTTTTCATCAGTCCCGAGTATGCCTCTCTTCTCACTCCTCACGGTTTGCTGCATGATCCAGTCAACCACAATCAGGATGATAATCTGTGATAGCAGGCAGCCTGGTTTTACTCCTGTCTTCACTTCAAAGGCACCAATGAGCCGAGCTTTCCATTGTGAATCACTCGTCATGTAGCGTCGCCATATAGCTGTTGGATGGGGTTGGTAAAGATTTGTGGTACTCCGTAGTGTTGAAGCTGCTGCAGAATTACTTCTTGATCGACGCTTTCGTAGGCCTTTTCGAAATCAATGAGGTTGATTTAGAATTCTTGACTGCCGTCCTACGCTGTGTTCTATGATGATGCGTAGCGTCGCGTTGCAATTTGGCCCATATGTGGTTTGTTCTCCCTGAATCCGGCGCATCGTTTCTTCTATCCGGGCTGGTGTGGCCTAATATTTCGCTTGCTTGGGGTGAACTGGAGTGAAGCATGATTCCGCGCCAGTTCTTGCAAGGGCTTATGTCTCCCTTCTTCGGAAGTTTGACAAGGTAGCCTTTCTTCCAATCAATACGCAAGTACCTTTCCTTCCTTCCTCCCTTCCTTCAAAACCTTCTGCATTAGTGGTGTGAGCATGTCCGCTATTGTCTCTGCGTCTATTCTCAGTGCTTCTGGCGGGATTCCATCTGGTCCTACTGCTTTCCCGCATTTCAGCAACTTGATGGCTTTCAGGTCTTCGTTTCCGCCTTTGTCTGAGTGCTTGTGTTCACTGGTAATTTTGTGACTAGGCTGATGGTGGTATTTCTAAACTAGTTGCGGTAGTTTTGGTGGTTTTGGTGGTCGACTCAAGTGTTTGAGAGATGTGGTGGCAAATTGTGCAAAGCATCCAGAGAAAGAATAAGTGGATTGATCGGTTCCTCCAACACAATAGTTTCCATGCTGTCAAATATAAACGTGGTCTAGTCAGGACGCTGTATACTTGAATGAGAATGCTGTGTAGAAGAGACAAGGAGGAAGAAGAATTCGGTATCATTGAGAAAGCTCTCTTTGATAATGCATATCTGGCGAAGTTCATCGTGAAGCATGGAAAAGAATTTATTGAGAGAGTGGAACACCCAACTGATGAGGGGAAGCCTGTTTCCATTCCTCTTGCATCACAAATTGATGAGACATTTGAAAGAATGAGTGGAAGAATGAAAGCAGCACTGAGGAGGTGCTTTCCTGCTATCATACCGATCTCAGTTTATAACGGAGCATGTTCAATAATACAGTCGGGAGTGGAGAAATCCCCATCTCATGTCACCTCAAACCAACTGTGTATATCAATTTATGTGTGCTTGTGGAAGCAAGTATATGTGGAGGATCGAAATCAGACTATGTACTTGATTTATGAGGATATTTGGAGAGATGTATGTTTGAAGGGTGGCATGGTGTTTACCAGCACAATGACCTGTCGCGTGATGTAAACAGATCATCGATTTGATGTTTCTCAATTCTTCGAGATAATCAGCAAGCATAGAGCGCCGTGTTTGTCATATTTTATGGGGTAACTGGCTATGAGGCATTTCCAGCCTGACCCATACACTGACAGACCGTATTCAGCCTCTGTCCAACCTGGTAACTGTGTGTAATTTTTATGTAGATGTTTATGACCCTCTGTTTTGATTGCACCATCTCCCCATTAATCGCCTACTCTCTGTTTATCACTCAACTCAGCGTTTTTCCAGTTTTTCCCCACATAAATACACAACGTTCTGACTACTTATTAGGCAAGTAATAGTTTGTGCATGCATTTAATAAATATTCTGGTAATAATCTGTTGGTTATCGTTGTGACTGTTCTAGATAATCACAGGAAAGTATTACGCTTGGTTTACGCTTGGCAGTGCCGTAGAAACAGCTGACACTTAACGTAGCTTACTTCAGCTGAAAATATCTTCATGCTTTTTCTCTACACTTTTTCCTATAAACCGAATTTACAATTATTCGTTTGAAAATATTATCCTTCTTCATGGAAATGTGTGCAGCAGCTTGAACGATGACATTGTAATATCATTTTAGAAGGACTGCGTATCGGCAGACTGGAATACATGATGGAATTGTCGATGTCATTGGTTGTCGTCGCCTTCAGTTCATTTGTGTTTTACAGTGAAACCAATGGATGACTTATGAAGAGACTGCACTCAGATTACCAGATAAAGAAACTGAATCAACAATAATATGTAGTAATGTAATAGTGGAAGCTGGCAACGTTCGCATTCTGTGCATGTCCAAGTATCATCTGCCTTAAATGACGACGGCGAAGGAATTGATAAAAGCGTGGAAGGTGTTCGGGGTCTTCTCTTTCACTCGAGGATATACTTGGAAGGCAGAAGTAAAGCATATCCAACAAGCCCCACTCTACAGAAATGGATAAATTAACAAACATATACTAAGATTGCTAACGCAGAGAGTTTATCCTTCACAGATGTTTGAAGCGTTGGTTAAATGATGGAGGTCAATCGGATATGAAAGCACAGAAGGTCCTCCTGAGCAAAAGCATTAAATGGCTGACTGTATGAACTGTATAATTACTGGTAACTAGACAGCTAATATCTTGGTATGCACTATACACATTTAACTTGCCAAATTCGGAGGGTTTGCAGCTACACTGATTAACTTTACTTTGTCGTTTAGCAGTGTACGAAAAACACTGATACTGCTCTCGTGTTATTCCCCTTGTGCTGTGAAGATGCATAGGGTCAAAAAACCTATTTTCTGCCTATATATTTTATGTTCAGCAGTCACATATAATAAAAGAGAGTGAACTTCTCTATAGGATATCCGTTCTTTGACATTTAGTCGGATAATTTGCCAGAGATGGTGAAGTGAGCGAATGTTAAACTGGCTTTTTCATTTCCAGCTGAGGTCGTGTCAGTGAGCAGCCCATTTGAGCTAATGCAACTTCCCAAATAGGTGGGTGTCCAACCCGTTGCTCCACTTTCTGGTTAGTTTCGATGTGACAAGACTTTATACTAAAATAATAATCAGTATGGAACTGGAGGTAGTCAGAACTCAAGTAAATGCTGACTCATAACTTGATCACAGGACTGGGATATTAGTCGGTATTAGGCGTAAAGTTGTGCCTGACCTCCACAGTCCTCAAGTTTCAAGAAAAAATATGTGTATAAACAACAGGGGTAGTAATAGAATCACCAATATCCTTAATCCTGGTAGATATATTTATGGACACTTGGGAAAATATGGCCTTAAGAACGTTTAATCCTGCAGCTAAAATATGGTGGCTACATGCGGATGACACATTTACCGTGTTGAAATCAGAACATATCGGCAATTTCCTGATGCATATAAACTCGGTAATAAGCACACTCCAATTCACTTACAAGGTAGAAAATCAACAGGGAAAGTTGCTTGTATTGGATTGCAGGATAAAATGAAGGGCAGACGGTGGTTTGGATACTACCTCCTACAGAAGACCGACACATGCTAACAGGTATCTAGACTTCAAGTCATCTTACCCGGTATCAGCCTGTTGAAGGCAGATTTAGTCAAATGTCTAAGTGGTAGAGCTAGAAAACTGACTAGTCGGTGTGAAGACAAACAAGGAATTGAAGCACATATAGGAAGCACTGTTAGTTAGTGATTATCCCCTACAGTCTATTGAGAAATTTGCACGAAAACATAAGAAACGAAAAAATAAGAATAACACAA